TGCGCGAGGCCGGGCGAACTGAATTATGATTGTGAGATAACCGGACCATCGTACTTCACCCATTTTGACGGTGATCAATAGGATCTACTCATTGGGTAATAGATGCGAACCTTGTGAAAGAAACCAAACCATTATTAGGTGAAAGCTCGAAAAATAGAGACTGGTTGAACGAGGAGTTCAACAGAGCAGCCAAATATCTGAAACTTATGCCGATATGATGAAAGGCCTGCAGAGCTATTCATGAAAATCCAGTGAGTGACTGCTTTGGGAGACTACCACATAAATCAACAGATTTAAGTTGATATTTTGGTGAAGAAGTCTAGGCCTAATTGGTGAAAATTATGTATAGATGAAGATCAGAATAACAGTGTAAATTTCTTCCATCTCAAATAAGAATCAATGTTTGTATATTCTATATATGAATGTCTTTGAGTGAGGTAAGAGTTACTTACTTATACAAGTACAGCTGATGAGATTGCATACTTTGTTTCAAACTGTTAATTTTCATTGCATACCAATTAGGAAGATAGAAAGCTTTTTTTTTTCTCGAAACGACAAACTTATTAATAACCGTAAAACTCAAAAAGAGCACAAAGACAATGTGAAATAAAGAACAGGCTATCGGCTTATCGCAACAAATATTAAGATCCTGCATGGATGATTGTCATGTCCATCAATATATGGGAAACACAAAACATCTGTTGAGCAACAAAATAACTTCACAAAACAACCATAAACCCCAAGGGCCATCCAAAAATAGATATAACCTTGTACATGGTATATTTTGAATTGCTGAATTTCACCAAGTCAATGTTACAGATTGAACTCAGCTATTTCTATTTCAGAGCCTAATATTTTTTGTCCAACAAAATGCAGGGAAAAAGTTTAATCCAATCATGTTCTACTGTAAGAAGAATGCCGATTCATTTATCTATCTACTTCAACCCTGCGAAACCAGATACGTAACATGAGTGAATCGGTTTATACTTTATAGTTTAAGCACTAAAATACTCCGATTCTTGTATGGAAGGCAACTCTATCTGATGATGACGATGCCTTCCCTGTATTATTCCCGCTACAGAGCTTGTACCATCGGTAGCTGCAAATGGGTTTGGAGGAATAACGAGACTCTCTTCACTTCCCTCTAACATCACAACAACCTCTTTCATAGACGGACGATCGTTCGGACTCCACTGTATGCACCACAGCCCCACAATAGTGAGTCTCTTTGCTATACTCCCATTTTCCCCATCCTCCACTCGAGCCCAAAAATCCTCCCCAAACTCCGAATCCAGACGATTATAAACCCACTGAGGAAAAAACACCTGGCTCGTTTTCACGTTCGGGTCCACATTCTTCCTCCCACCAACCATCTCGAGCACCATCATCCCGAAACTGTACACATCGGACTTATACGAAGCCCTCCCAAAAGTCCTCGAGAGAACCTCCGGGGCAATGTAGCCCATAGTCCCCCGAGCAATCGTCATCGTCACACCACTTTGTTCTTTCGAGCAGAGCTTCGCAAGCCCGAAATCGCATATCTTCGGCCCGAAGTTTCGGTCCAACAATATGTTGTGTGGCTTTATGTCGAAATGCAGGATTTGCTGGTCACACCCCTCGTGGAGATACTTGATTCCTCTGGCTATGCCGAGGGTGATGTCCCGCAGATTCCTCCAGCCGAGGGATGTTTTCGCAGACCGAAAGATGAACTTTTCTAAGGAGTCGTTTGGTAGGAATTCATAGACAAGGGCCCGTTTGGATCCCTCGGCACAGAACCCGAGGAGACGGACAATGTTGACATGGTGTATTCTGCCAATGGTGCTGACTTCATTCACAAACTCTTCACCGTTGCCCTTCGAGTTGTGGAGTAATTTGACGGCTACGTCTATTCGGTTAGACAGTCTGCCCTTGTAAACAATTCCGTAGCCTCCTTCGCCGAGTTTCTCGCTGAACTTACGAGTGATTCTTGTGATGTCTGAGTAGGAGAATCTAGTGGGCTTGAGGGCTCTGTAATCTTCTAGAAACTTCTCAATCTTGATGTGATTCTGTCTTTCTGATCTAAATGAGATGTAAAGAAGGACAAGGGATGCGAGGATTGTCACAAAGAGACATGAACCTAAGGCTGCACCTGTTAGAACAAAATGGCTTGTCAAATAATTGAAGGGTTCAAGTTGGATTCTAGTTCTGTGTTGTTAGGGTAATACTTCAAAAAATATTTTTCTTTTTCCTTTTTCTCTTGAAATAATTGAAAGTTTTAGAAAATTTTATTTAAAGATCCACAAAGTACACATATTTTATGTTTGTGTTACTGTTTTATGATAAACTTTTCACATTTGAAAAAATGACTGAATAAAGATTTTTTTTGCTAAGTAAATGGATTTTGTATTTGAAAAGCCCTGAATTTGCATGGCAGTTGTTTAGAAACTTCTTTCAGGTAACATAGTCGAAATCGAAATGTACCACATTAATTTTATTTTTATTTTTGTTTTTCAAATAAGTGAGGAAACAAGAAATTCCTTTATAAGATGACATTAAAATTTTATAAGCTGGATAAAATGTTCACCTCCAACCATTGGCCCCATCGATGCTCCTGCACGTGTAACAAACAGTAAAAAAAGTAAATGTTATTGTTATTTTTTTCACTAACATGTTTGTCACGACTCAACATTGCAAACAAATTATTTGAAATGACAATAGGACTTTCAGCCACATGATTTTGTCTTGGCAAAAGCTATTTTTCCTACTAGTGTTTTTTTTATCATGAACTAGTGAAGCATAATTTCACATGAATCTTTTGAGCTACACATTCAAAATGAGTACTGTTGTTTGGATATATGCTTTTCCTTCTTCCATGACCAAGTGAAAACTGAATAATAAATTTTATTTCCAATAACAATTTCAGTAAATAAGTGTAAAACCATTTTCCAAATAGGTGGAAAATGGAAAAGCATAACCGAACTTACTAGTCGTGTTAGGTTTGTGGACACACTGTATTTGATGTCCGCCGCTTGTTGACTTACTTGATAACCTGCACCACTTTCCTTTCGCTTCACAGCCACTGCATGCTGGTTCAGACCACCTCAGATGGAGATATTTCTCATTTCTTACATTGTATGGAACATAAACTTTATGTAACCTCGTACAGGAAGTCAAATCAAGTGAACCAACATTATCCCACTCAGACTCGGTAATGGCAAGAAAATGAGAACTGGAATCACCAAGACAAGGAAACGAGTAAAATAAACCTCTTCGTGAAGCGTCAGAACAATTAACAAGGATAAAATCCCATTTTTCTGTACTCAAGAACTGTAATGGGGATGTGGATAAATTCAGATGAGGTAGCTTTTTCACAAGACATTTTTCAGGATCATAAAGGTCAACTTGCTGAAGAACGTAGTTGATCTTCTTTACAGCAACTTGTACAGAGAAAGGCAGTTCAAGCACCGTCTCCTTGCTCTCATTGCAAAGCACATCAAAACCTGGATACCCGCAGTGTTGAGGGCTTCGATTTTTGTCTCTGAAAGGGAAACGAATAGTTGGCCCATGTTTCATGCATCTGGTGGGCTTACAATCATCTATTTCTACCCCAAGCACTGCGAAGTACAACAAACAAAAGATAGTGAAAACGAGGAAAACGGACATGGCAGCTATACAAGGCTTTTTGATACAGTATGTGTGTCTCTTGCACGTTATAACCTTTTAAGGTAAATTACAACACCTATAACATTATCTCTTTCTGTTATCATGTATTCAGATTTGAGGGTATTATTTGTTAACATAACACATACTATCCTAAATGCCAACAGCAAAAAATATAATAAAAAACAAAAAAAAAAAAAAAAAATATTTGACTGATTCCACACGGGTTGCTAAGTGCTTGGGCCGTCTTGTCCAATAATTAGGAATTAGTCAAGCTTGTGAAATACACCAACAGTCAAAATACTTTACATTACTGCATTTGTGCATTATAGCAGGAAGCAACTAAGAAAGCTTTATTCATACCCACACCATATGGTAGGCCTAACCAATCATGGTGTTGTGCGGTCCAGTTCTGCCCATTGGCTAATTAAAAATTCATTGACTTGACTTGACTCTCATTGACTAATTAAAAAGCTCCATTTTTTTTTTCTTGCTGACTAATTAACACCAAAACTGGAAAACACCATGGATTTCACCATTTTTTTTAACAAATCTATGGGTTTTAAACTTTTCTAAGTCTAGCTTCAACTCATATACCTTTTTGACCATAACATTCGCACCAGCCTTAGGTGACTAACTGTATTTGAATGCATATCAACATTAAACCCTCATATGCTCAGTTTTTAATAACTAACTAGTACGGGGAGCCCGAAGTAAATTTATAAATTGCATGTATATTACAACAACAACAACAACAAAGCCTTTTAGTCCCAAACAAGTTGGGGTAGGCTAGAGATGAAACCCAATAGAAACAGTAGTAAA